CCCCAAAACCCCAAAACCCCAAAACCCCAAAACCCCTTAATTTTATAAAATAATTGATTATTTTCCATCATGAGTTCAGCTTTAGCCAACTATTTTAACAGAGAGGAGCTTCCAATGGAGGTAGACGAGAAGGACATCAAGGACTTGGCCAAGTCCAAGCGTAAAATGATCTTACTCCCTCTTGGCACATTTGGAATCACTTATCTGATCAGAAACTTCCGTGATAAGATCTTTGTCTCTGGAAATTTCCTTGTAAATATTATGAATGTTAGAGGGAAATACAAGAACGATTCTTATAATTCAAAATCAGTTTCACAGTCTCTCGATGAGGCCAGAAATTCTGAAGACCCATACAAAATGATAAAAGGTAAGATTTCCCTTTAAATCATAGCTGAAAGAGAGCTGGCCAAGAAGAATCTGAAAGATAATAGCGTTGAGAAAATCACTAAGTCTAAAGTAGTGTATAAGTCTAACCCAGACCCATTCGCCAAGTTTCAGAGGCAACAAGGAATTACCCCTGCTACTAAGATGTATAGTGGCAATAAACAATCAGAGAGTTTCCAGTATAAATCAGAAGCTGAAAGATCTGCTGGTCTCGGCGGTAACCAGATTATGAATAAAGGCTCTACTTATACTAACATGCTTAAAACTTACACCGACTACCAGCAAAATGAAAGATTCAAGACAGAAAAGTTCAATGCAGAAGAAAGACAATTTAAGAGAGAGAAAAGGTTCAAAATATTCAAGAAAATTAATGTAATGAAAATCAGAGACCTCATAATGGCTAAAAGGCTGAAGAACACAGGATCCCTGTTCATTATCATTCCCACTGTTTTGGCTGTCTTTGCTGGAATCTCACAATATGCTACTACATCCTTCATGATGTATCTCAAATACCAACCAATGGTGGACATGTACTACTTAAAACAAGTTGAGGAGGCTGAAGCAACTTCAGGTTCCCAGCAATCAACCTCTTCTCAACAAGCAACAGCCTAAAGAGTCGATCTTGGTAAAAAGCTTAGTTCTCAATTTTACTATTTTATTAAGGGGTTTTGGGGTTTTGGGGTTTTGGGGTTTTGGGG